GTCGTCGATTAATCGTGGCAGCCCTAACACACACACACAAGCACACATGCACACATGCCATAAATTGCACTTTCTGCAGCTGGTTTGAAGGTGCAACGGCTTCACGTTCCATCATTCTGTCTCTGTATTGCCGAGTTGCAGCAATGACAACAATCTAGTCTTAACCCCACTGCTGCCCTAGGGTCAAACTAGCCCTCAAGGACTYGGTTTCAAACAGGCCTCAGGGGTCATTTTGACCCAAAGGCAGCAGAAGGGTTATTGTAGACAAGCTGAGAAAGAGGTGTTTTTTTTCTTCTTCTGCATTTGTGCTAAATGTTTGAATTATTGAATGATTGAACAATTCACAAGACATTTTAAATTGTTGATTTTAGTTGTCATCTGAACACTTAGTTTGTGTAAAATGTTGTGAAACTGATTATATATTTCATTAAAACTTATTGTCATATTCAAATGCATTTTATATCATAAATATAATAATATTAAAAATAATWTTTTGATCTTGAAGGACTCACATTTGTTCTGTCTTACTTTATTGTTTTTCAGTATTGATTTCCTAAACAAGAAACTGAAAATATTAGTAGAAAAAATATGTATTTATTTGAAATTGACTACTTAACATATTGTACATATACTGTTGGGCCTAAAATTCTTTTAAATAACATATTCACATTGTAGAACTGCACTGTTTTTTTTTCAACATGTGAATGAATCTGCTGAATTATCATATTTCAATGCCATGCCATAAAAAAAACATTAAAGGTCAGACAGACTTTTGAGAAAGATTAGATTTTTTTTAGAAATACAAAGTAAAAAAAAGACCAAAATTCCTGACAGGCACTGGTACAAAAGTAAAACATATTGCAGCATATTGCACAAAATATGGCAACAGGGCAACCTGAAGTGAAGCCAACCATTTGCACGTTACTAGGTTTTGTGTTGGAATAAAACTAATATATAAATATCCCTTAGCCTAAAGGTTACCTCAAAATCACTAATATATTTAATATTCTAAAAAAAATAATAGTTTACAAACACTGAGGTGGAAATACATGATAAAGTCACCTTTTTGTCCTTGAGCAACCAAAACCAAAAATGAAGCAACGTTTGACTTTATCTGTTTACCACCCAAGTTTAATTTTTAACTAAACAWGTCAATGAATCAGGCTGCCTGGTGAGGACGTTTTTACTTGAATTTAAAATTTGAAGTTACGAGATCTGAACTGTTGCTTGAAATTAAGAAAATGCTCACTTTTTGAAGCACTACTATACCATTAGCAAAATGTAAAACAAGAAAATCAACATGCACCCATAACTCCAGTCTGCTGATCTGTTTTATCCGCATCTGGGTCAAATTCCTGCCAACTGTTCCTGTTGTGCCATGTGAGCGCACAAACACGCATATAAATACCCCCCCTGAATCTCTCAGTGACCCTCTTCCCTCTCGTTTGTCTGCAACGTTCTGCTTCTGTACTGCTGGGATTTGACTCTTTCATCAGGCAGTCCTTTATCCTCTTTCTCACCATTGCTGTGATCTCCAGCATCGTGACTGACATCTGCTAAAGCTCCTAAACTAAATAAAGGCAGAATATTCCACGAAGGAATGYATATCACCCGCTGCCTTTAATGCTAGTTTAGACTAAAATCAGCCTATGTTGAGAAATGAAGTTGAAGCTGTTTTTATCAAACCTTAAATATATCATTAAGATGTCCTGCTCAGAGTATACTTTGTGAGTGACTCACAGCTACCACCACATGTGGATAAGTATGTCGAATTGGCTAAATTATGAATTTTTTAGTGTTGAATAATGTCAAACATCTATTGCAGCCAACTTGAATCAGACTGTCTTCAACTTTTAATCAACTGTAGATGAATAGTCAGTGGTCATACCCCCCCCCCCCCCCCCCCCCCGCGTATTCCTGAGAAACATCTATCTCATTACGCCAATCCTGATTGGCTGGTGATCGCGACGCATGCGTCACCAACCCTTTAAGTAGCTTGCGCCATGACGCAGCATCATTCGAAAAACTCTTCTCGCTTCGAGGCATATCTCTTTAGCAAACTAGCTTAACTGTCCACTGATTGGAGTAAATTGGTTAACTCCGTCTACAGGCGCTAGCTTCAGCCTTTACCATAGTCTGGAGACAACCCTTCTTGCTAGGGCGAAGCGAGAAGAGTTTTTCAAATGATGCTGCGTCATGGCKCAAGCTACTTAAAGGGTAGGTGAYGCATGCGTCGCRATCAYCAGCCAATCAGGATTGGCGTAATGAGATAGAAGTTTCTGAGGAATACGGGGGTGTATCCCGTAGTGAGACATCTCACTCATGCTACTCTGAGAACCGGGGTTATACAAGTAACCTAAAGATTTCTCAGTATGAATGAGTCAAAGCAACATCCTGAGTATGTATTTATTAAAAATGATAAAAAAGATAAAAAAGTAGATTTTGCATAATACCCCCCTTTGTTTTTATCTGGGTGTCCAAAAARCTTTCAGTTAATCCCAAATGCTGCTGACAGAATTCAAATTACAGATGGAAGGAGAGATTATATTTCTCTAGTTTTAGCTTCTCTCCATTTAGCCTGGTAAAAACCAGCCCCTTGTTCCACACTTTGCTTCGTACAGATGGTCTGGACCCTCGGCTATTGAGAAGCGGTTTCTTGATGAAGGCAATTCAAAACGATTGGATCTGATTTACCCGATCACTAGCGTTTAGCAGTGAAGTATGCAGTGCGCTAGGTTGACCGTGAAGGAAGCTAAGCTAAGAAGCTCACTGGAAATTATATGCACTGTAAACAACTTCGCTACTGAGAGGAGAAAAGTACCAAGCTGAACGAAGTGGCTGTAAATGAGTGCTGCAGGCTTAACACAGACTGGCTTAATTCAATTCCTCCACTGCCATTGCTAAACTACAAGCAGACTAATACGGTGCAGAAAATCAATGTTTTCATTCACAACTCCTCCTTTTGTTCGCCAATTGGCCTGGTTAAAATTCTACCGGAGACGAAGCAGTGAAGGGAAACTAGAATTGAGTGGAACTGTATGGCCAGGCTACTCTCCATTGGCTCTCTCTCAAATTCAGAGTAGAATTTAAGATTTTAACATACAAAGCCCTCAACAACCAAGCTCCATCTTATGTTAAAGATCTTATTGTTCAGTATTTTCCTAACAGAGCACTTGCTCACAGACTGCAGGGTTCCTTGTGGTTCCTATATTTTCAAGTAGAATGGGAGGCAGAGCTTTCAGTTTTGTAACCAACTTCCAGTTTCTGTCTGTGAGACCGACACTATGTCTACTTTTAAAACTAAATTGAAGACTTTCCTTTTTGATAAAGCCTATGGTCTTAGATTTCCTGAGTTATTCCTTAGTTCTAGCAAACTGAGTAGAGACAACAACATCATGTGACTCTGGACTCTGGATGGGCCCAGGATTGGGCCTAGCATGGACCCCCCATCCTCCCTCAACATCACCTACTCCTCTGAACCTGCCCCATTTTACCTCTCCTTTATGTGTTATCTGACCTAAGCCCCCCC